TACAAATCTTCTTGCGGATTTGGCGAATGTGGATGTCATGATTGAAGATGAGGACAAAGCGTTGCTGTTGTTGAGTTCCTTGCCCGACGAGGAATATAAGACATTCGTCCTTACTCTGATTAATGGGAATGCATCTCTTTCGTATAGTGAGGTCACTGCTGCACTGGTGAATTATCAGTTTCGGAAGAAAGATAAGGAAACTTCGACTGAGTCGGTAGCAGAGGCGTTGGCCGCAAGAGGGAAGGGTCCAAACCAAAAGAATTGGAAGTCACAGTCTAGGGTAGGACATCCTACAATTGGAAAAGATCAGTGTGCTTGGTGCAAGGAGACTGGTTATTGGAAGAAAGACTGCCCAAAGCTCGACGAATGAATGAAGAATAAGCAGAAGGGAAAAGGAAAGCAACTATCATCAGAAGCAAACATCGTATCGGATGGTAATATTTCTAACTATTCTATTTATTCGCTTTCTATCAGTCCTACATGGAGCTATTCGAAGGAATCCGAGTGGATGTTGGATAGTGGTACGACCTATCATGTGTGTCCTAGAAGGGAATGATTCTCCAGTTTTGAGAAGTTGGATAGTGATGTGATGTACATGGCTGATAACCGTGCATGTCAGATCCTTGGGATAAGAAGAATTCGCATAAAAATATTTGACGGGACTGTTAGGGAGTTAAATGATGTGAGATATATTCCTTCTTTGAGGAAGAACTTGATCTCGATTGGAGATTTGGTTGTAGAGGGTCTGAATGTTCGATTTGAGGACATGGTTCCCAAGATTGTGGAAGACTCTCGGATTGTAATGAAGGGCGTCAGGAGGAATAACCTGTATTACTTGACTGGAGGTATAGTGGTAGGTGGAGAACTGGCGACTTCTATTGATTTGACTAGACTGCGATATTTGGGGCTTGGCCATTCCAGTATTGATTCCTCGCATAGATTGAAAGAGGGTGTGAAGACCTGCAGTTTGAAGTCCAGTGAACATGTTGATGTGAGCAAGAAGACCGAGGTGAAGTTTGACACCTCTATTCACCGAGTTAAGGGTCGTTCTGGAGGAGTTCACGTGGATGTTTGGGGGCCTTCCAAGGGGACATCATTAGGAGGTAATAGGCGTTGGGTTTCCTTTATTGGTGGCTGTTCTAGGCGTGTTTGGGTTGCAACCAAATCCCCATTGGAGAAAGTCCTAGTAGTCTCTAACATATTGAAGAAGTGTGTAATAGACAGAAAGGTGAAGGTACTTCATTCTGAATTTGATGGGAGATACAAGATGGACCTATTTCTGTATTGGAGACGAGCTCACGACATTTCGAGACACTTCGTTGGAAAGGAAATCTTGGGGCAACCAGATAGGATGACAAATTTGGAGAACCGTGCCTTGCTGGAGGAGGATCGGTGTTTGTGGTCGAGCAATGGTTTGCAGAAGAGTTTCTGGACTAAGGCTTCGACATACTTGGGTCATCCTATTAAAGACTTGCCAACTGCCGTGATTGGAGGTAAAACTCCATTGGATGTTTGGTCTGATAGTGTCACTTCGGTTGAGGCTTCGATGAGGGAGCTATTTGATTCTCAGCGGGTGGAGAGTTTTGAAAAGACCTTAGATGTATCGCAGCGGGTGGAGTGTGATACTACTTCACATTGGGTGAAGATTACTCCAGATCATATTGTATTATTTGGGATTCCAGTTGAGGTGACACAGCTTAGGGATCATTTGGATTTGGGTGCAGATGATGAGTTGGGTTTTGATTCGAGTGCAGCTGATACATGCAGTTTGGATATGACTATTGGTTCACCTCGGGTGGAGGTGTTTGAGGCCATTGGGGGTGCTATCAGCCGCAGAGTTGATGATATTAGAGAAGGGTTGCGAACTCTTCTATTGGATTGAGGTCGTTCGCGGTCATTTAGGTAAACTACGTTCGGCTTGATTTCTTAGGCAAGAGGATACATAGGCAGTCTTATGATGCAGGCGGGTTTTGGATTAGTTGATGGGGGTGAGATCGATTTGGTGAGTTGATACCGACATTTGGAGAGTGTTTGCATTCTCATTTGGGTCTCGACTTGTTGTGGATTGAGTCCGTTGTCTTGAATTGTTTCACTTCGTACTGGACGCAACAAGTAAGGTATTTGGTTTGGTTGGTGTCGGCTCAGTTTTGAGAAAACTTCACCGAGGTGGAGAATTATGAACGTGGGGACACGAATTGGCCAGAATTGGCCACGAATTCAGCCAGCAGACGTGTTTTTCTTTTAATGCTTGTGGGGGCCACGAATTTGGTGTGAGGAGATTTCACATGTGAGGTCACACCCGATTAAAGGCCCATGTACAGCGACAATATAAATACCCATGCTAGGGTATTTTTGGCGTAGTGCAAGAGCAGGCAAAGGGAGAATGTGGGCATGCAGCAAGGGAAAAGTCGGCTGAGAAAACCGCGTGAGAGAACAGAGTTGCAGTCGGCTTGGACGTGCAGAGGAGAAACTGCAGGGACTTTGGTGGCTATTCACATAGAAAAAACAAAGTCCTTTTGCAGCTGTTTTTTGTTTTGTGCATCCCTTTTGAGAGAGTATTGGTGTGAGGGATCTGAGAGTTTGTGAAAGGGTTTAGATTGTGAGATTGTAAACCTAATTGTTTCTCTCCCTCTAATAGTAGATCTTCCCCCTCCTTGTCCCGTGGACGTAAGCAGTTTGCCGAACCACGTAAAATTAGTGTGATTTGTGTTTGTGGTCATTGTAATAGTTTATTAGGGTCCCTCGACAAGTCAGTCCTAGAACTGAGTTTGTGGTCATTGTAATAGTTTATTAGGGTCCCTCGACAAGTCAGTCCTAGAACTGATGAGAGGAAGAGTCGATATCTCACTTTGTTGAGATATTCGCACAAGTCAGTCCTAGAACTGATGAGAGGAAGAGTCGATATCTCACTTTGTTGAGATATTCGCTTCAGATTTTTGTTTCCTTGGTGAGACGGGAATTTTTATTGCGATCTTTCTCTTATTGTGCACCAGAAACTCTGCCGAAATTTCCGCTGCGCACAACACCAAGGAATTTTTATTTTTATTTTTATTTGACAAATACGTACGCATATTCCTTTCATGCCAAACACACCAAATAATATACATAGAACGCACATAATTAACCAACTTAATTAAGTCTCTTTGTTTAATTAAATTATATAAATGATTTCACAGAACCACATGTGGTGGGAGTAGGATTTCATTCTGTCCGTATATCTCAGCAGCCAACAACCCATATATGGTAATGCTCGGTTGGTGGGTAGATGCGTCTAATCCCCTCACGTTTGCTTGTCTTATAAAAATACCACGCGCTCTCTCAATTATATATACGTGAGCTCTTTACACATTTGTCGAGTACGTTGACCCTTTTAGCCTTCCTTCATTTCTACAGGTTGTGGTTGTTCAGCCATCAGAAGCCACAAGTACAAAAGCGTGGAGCTAGCCTTTAACGCATTCGTCATCTCATGACTGAGAATAATGTAAGTTCTTTTTTTTTTTATATATAAAAAACACCCAAAATGAGTTTGACTCTGGCTTGTTTGGTTGGAAGTCATCCCAAGTTATCGGGTACGGTA